GCTTTGCCCTTACATAGACCCGCTATTTAACTTTTTAAATTCAGGAATCATATTGAAATGTAAAGGAAGCTGTACAGCTTCCACATTAAATCTCAAAGCAATTACAGAGGCAGATAGGTAAATGTCTTTATCCTGATTTTATAAATGGGGAAACTGAAGCACAGAAAGAGAGAAATTAAGGGGCTTGATCCTGCAAAGAGATGAACACTCTGGCCACAATCTAGCAAGGCACTTAAACACATACATTGAAATCAATGGAACTATGCCAGCACTTGAAGTTAAGCATGTGCTTAAGTGCCTTGCTGGATCGGGACCAGAGTCACCAGTACTTTTCAGGATCAAGCCCAATGTGACTTGACTAGGATCAGAGAGCCAGGAATAGAATCAAGTTTTCAAAACACTGTCCTCCATACACTAACCATTAGTGCATGCTGCCTTCCTGCATGTGTCCTGGTCCGAATGGTAGGCATCACTCACAGAATGCGGGGAAATCTTGAAGGTGTGGTCTCGAGGAGGCCATGGCATCATTTTTTTTAGCCTATACTAACAATACATCAAGAAAAAACGGCATATTTCTCCTTTACTTTTCTCCATAATGGTATATCCTCCACAGTTTCTCTCCTGGATGATTTGCTTATATTCAGTCCTTCATGCCGGAAATATTAGTTTGCTGTGTGGAAGGACCAGCCCAATTAGAAACACTTTTGCCTGTTGGAGTTCAAACAGATCTTTTGTTCTGGCTTTACTGCTTTTCTAGGCTGTGTCCCCCTTGACTCTAACTTAGGAATAAACCCAAAACAACAAAGCAAAACCTGGATGAAACCAGAAAGTTTCCCATGGTGTCCAACTCAATCCCAGGCTTGCTTGATGGTTGGTGAACCTTGCCCAGGTTTCAGGTTTGTGACAAATGCCACCATCAGGTCAAAGGTTTTGTTACAAATGTTTAATGCGTTTGTCCGAGCAAGTAGATCCTTCTGGCTTCAAAGATCAGAGCTCAGTGGACTGAGATAGGGGTTGTCCTTAGAAGCTTGCTGACCCCAGAGGGCAGGGAAATATAGCAGAGATCATGTGCTTTGGAGCTCAACCTTCCCAAATATTTGGAGGTATTTCTGCAAAATACAGAAAATATAGGAAAAGTATTGAGTCTAGGATACACCTGAGCTGCAAAACTCAGATCTTGACGTGCCTGAAGCTCAGGAGTGTTTGGGTCCAGGTCTTGGTTTGGCTCTGAAAGCTGAGTTTGGTGCAAATTCAGATCCGAACCATAACTTCCCTGACGCCTAAGAGTGTTTTGACCCTGGATTAAGGGCCCCATCATTAATTGGTGCAAACAATCTAAATTGTTTCTATGCTCTCTCCATTTATTTCTCTGTCCTTTGAGCTTTTTTGATCCTTGAAGTGTGTCCCACATGCTGTTCCAAAGGAAGTTTCCCAGACAATGTATTGTGTGTGTTCTATACATGATACTCACCTCTTCATTTGTAATCCCTGGACTGCCTGACAGCCTGTTTCTCCAAGTGTTCAGGGTTCATAAGTGTATTATTCATTACCAAAAAAATCTGTACTTCTAGACAATACGATAAATTAAAATTAAAATTCATTTAAACAACTGATTATGGACAGTGGGTGCCTCCAGTTTTGGGTCTCCAATTTGACACACATTAAAAAAAGACCCTGGTTTTCAGAGGGTGGGTGCTCTGAGAATCAGGCCCCTTTAAAATATTGGTGATTGGAAACCCCAAAATAGAGGCACCCAGAATTTCTACTCATTTCTGAAAACCTTGGCTTGAGCCTCATTGCAAGTTATAGTTTACATTCCACTTGCAGTGGTGGAAGTGCTTTTAAAAGTGTTTTCTAAGAAATAAAATGTCACCAAAAGTAGGGATTAGACATAATCCAGTTCCTTTATCAACTAAAGATGCCATCATGGCCTCTGAAACCTAATGGAAGAAATTCCTTCACTGTTTTCCATCTTACAATTATATCACATAACACATTCTGCTAGAAGGTTGGCCAGCATCTTACGACTCCAGTACCACAATATAATGAAAAATGTAAAGGGCTTGACATCCCTTGCCACCTGTTTAAGATTCCACATAATCTGGCTAGAGAGGGATTAATTCCTACATTTGATTTTCCATCTGCATTGCATCAAAGGTAACCCCTGTCAATCCTGAGACATAACCCATTTGTAAGAGCAGGAAATATCCTACTCCACTGCAGATTTTGCTGTGACAAATGTAATGCTTTCTTTAGGGTTCTGTTTGTTTAATTAAATTTTACGCACGGATAAAATGTTTTGTGAAATTTCCACTGTGGGGTGTTGTAATTAAAACTGGTGAACTTGATACAGACAGGCAACTATTGTGAAGCTGTCTTTGTCTGAGATATGAATACCAGCAGCAATGTTTAGTTCTACTGCCACAATTTTCTTTTAGAATTCCAAAAGCTTCCCAAATTAGGTGCAACTGAGAGCAACTTTGATCCGTTTTGGGTGGAAAACACAATTGTTAAGAAGTATGATTGGTTAAATTACTAGGAGCCTCTGTATTAAGGGAAAAAACCCTTCAGCTTTTGCTTCCACATGCAGGAGCAAATATGTTCTTCAAATGTATCTAATCTTTCATAGCCTAATGATTCAATCGTTTGACACATTGCAACAATAAATGCCTTGGTGGTGGTATTGTTGAGGAAAGACTCCAGTATGGCATTTCATCAGACTGGCTAACTAATACAATATATTATACTCTCAAAAATAAATAAGAATAAACAAAACATCCCTAAGATACGTTATTGTCTGGCCATTCTGTGTGAGGAAGAGACAGATGTTAAGGGGAAGGAGCTATGGACCCCGATTCAGGAAACTAAATGCTTTGTTGAATTGAGTCCTCGTTTGGGTGTTGTGTTGAATTGGGTTGTTAAGAGTTTTTTTCCAAATTTCTCTCTCTCTCTCCTATTTATTTATGTAAATAATAATGCTCTCAGAACTGAATGAAACCCTGTGGTTTTGGTCCCCAGGAGTGTGTGAACATTTTCTTTGATTCTGATCCACACCCTCCTGCCTACCCACATCCTGTAGCCTGGTCTACACTTAAAACTTAGGCTGACATAGCTACGGTGCGTAGGGGTGTGAAAAATCCAACCCCTGAGTGCTGTTGCTGTGTTGATCTAACCCCTGGCATAGACATTGCTAGGTTGATGAAAGAATGCTTCCACTGACCTTGTTACTGCTGCTCAGGGAGGTATTGTTCCTACAGGGATGAAAAAAAGCCCTTCTAGTGCTGTAGGCCATGTCTATGCTACAGGGGTATGCTGGTATTGCTACCGCAGCATAGCTATGCCATATACTCCCCGTAATGTAGACATGGCCTGAGTCTCTCCAAGCTATGGGTCTGATGAATGCAAAGGGAGGGGTTTTCAAAAGCATTTAGCGTTGTCCCATTTAAACCAACCATCAGAACCCCATGAGAGAAGAGTGAGGGCCACAACTGAGTGTTTTCGAAAAGTCCCATCCCACAAACGTCCAAGAATATTTTGGACTGAATGGCTGAGCTTCACCGGGCTTTGCATCAAAGTAGAAGCGAAGCCACAGATTTTTGGGGAGGTTCCCCAACGCGAAATCATTCCCTTATTTTACTGCTAGCCTTTACCTCCATAAATTGATCAAATCCAACCCTGGTTCTGAGCATACCTAGTCTATTGAGGGTTTAAAACTCAGATCCTGATTTTGTAACTCGGGCCTTAACTCTATTTGAAAGATTTTCTTTCTCCTCTGAATCTCAGTGAGAATCCCTGAAGCGGCCAATGTACATTCAGGTTAGCAAAAAGAGAAGAAACTCTTCAGTGCTTTTGGTCTCTGGTTTGGAGCTGGTGACTCACTCCAAACCCAGATGAGTTTCACTTGGATAATTCTGGCAATCTTTCAAGCATTTCCCCCCCCCCCTTCTCCGCCACTTTACAACATAGACGATGCAGCAAGACATAGAGGGACTGTTAGTTTCTAGTTCGCGGCGCCGGGTTGAGGGATTTTTCTTTTTAAACGTTGACCTATTTCTCAGTCAGCTTGTCTCTGTAAGTTAGAACCCAACCATGGCAGACAACAGTCCAATGTATGCAAGCAGAAGGGCGACTCACCACCTGTCTGAGCTGTCAAGTTATGTGGGAAGGCATATCAATTAACTTCTGCGATTATCTCATCATACTTCACAACTGACAAAACATTAACCCCCTTTCAAGCATAATCCTATTGGAAAACCAACATCATTCATTTCATCAGCAACATTACCATCAACCCCTCGTTTCTGGTGAGGGTGGGGAAGAAAAGGAGGGAAGGTATTTCCCCTTCCCCGACCCCTTTTTATTTAGTCTATACACTTTAAAGTCCAAAAGCTATGTGCAGTCAAATAGTTTCACTCTATAGACAGCAGGTATTTGGGTTAAATTCCCATGAGCCTACTGTGTTCCCTTGTAGCTTAAAAAGCTGGGACACTGGCCAGGAAAAAGGACCTTCCATGACCTGCTCTTAACCCCTGAGGAAAGTTACACAAACTCTTTCACGCTTGGCTGGGATTGCTGTGTAGGAGAGGCCAAAACAATACTTTCCCTTGTGTTTGCCTACCTTATTAAATATCAATTAATATTTATGGAAGTTTATAAACAGTGCAGCTTTGGTTTCAAGGGTGCTTAGAAATCTGATCTCCCCTTCTCTCCCCCCTCCTCACTTCAGCATTTGTCTGGCTCACGGGTGCATAGTTAAAAGCACTGATCTTCATTTAAATTTAGAGGAGTTTATCTAAACTCTGAGCCCAATTGCCCTAGGTAGCTATTTACACCTCGGCAAAGTGGCTGTAAAATTTTACTGAATCAGCTTTATAGCGATTTTACACTCACTTGTCCCAGATTTTCCTCTCACGGGGGTTTTACACCAGCGTTACGCCATTGACACCTCCAGCGTCGACACTCCTGATGTACACTAGTGAAAGTGAGGGCCTGAGTCTTACCTATTTGCACAGACTGTAAGGTCTTCGGGACAGGGGTTGTCATTTTCCATGTGTTTGTACAGCACCTAGCACAATGGAGACCAGAACTGGGTGAGGCATGATCACAAGATAAATGTTAAACAGCAGCAGCAGCTATAAATGACTACACAAGGTGCAAAGCACAGACATGTCCAGTCTCACCCATTGGGTGAGAGACTCACTCACTAGCACTCTATCTCACGCTCACGCACATTTCTAAGCTTATCTTCCTCATTGTGAGTAAAATACATAAAGATTTAAAGTATTTTTACTCAGGCACTGAAAAAAGACAACAATACATCTGGGGCCTCAGGCACGGGGCTTAGAGCTTGGAAAGCCACTTTCCAAGCTTGTTTACTGTGGTAACCATGGAGACTACAGGCCCACGTTCTATACGAGGAGGCTACGTGGGATGTGGGCGGGGGGAGGAAGATTGTGTCTGTGAATACTTGACGGTCAAAAAAATATGAGTTGGCCCAAAAAATAAGCAGGACTTGATCAAAAGTTTGCAGGTTTTGCAAATTACAGTTCAAAATTTAAACTACACTGGACAAATTCATGTCCTCAGGGATCTCCAGCCATCCAGGTTTTTGTTCAAACCAGAAAAGAATTGTTTTTATTAAAATCCACTGGTTTGCATTGCATATAGAATTCTCATGTGCCCTTGACTTTAGTATGAATCCCTCACTCTCACAGACCTTGGGAGACAGGCCAGTCCTCGCTTACAGACAACCCCCCAACCTGAAGCAAATACTTACCAGCAACTACACACCACACAACAAAAACACCAACCCAGGAACCAAACCCTGTAACAAACCTCGTTGCCTACTCTGTCCCCATATCTACTCTAGCGACACCATCAGAGGACCCAACCACATCAGCCACACCATCAGGGACTTATTCACCTGTACATCTACTAATATGATATATGCCAGCAATGCCCCACTGCCATGTACATTGGCCAAACTGGACAGTCTCTACTTAAAAGAATAAATGGACACAAATCGGACATCAGGAATGGTAGCATACAAAAGCCAGTATGAGAACACTTCAATCTTCCTGGACATTCTATAACAGATTTAAAAGTAGCCATACTTGAGCAAAAAAAACTTCAGAAACAGACTTAAGAGAAACTGCAGAACTAAAATTCATTTGCAAATTTAACACCATTAATTTGGGCTTGAATGGGGAGTGGGAGTGGCTGGCTCATTACAAAAGCAGCTTTGCCTCTCCTGGAATTGATACCTCCTCATCTATTATTGGGAGTGGACTACATCCACCCTGTTCGAATTGGCCCTGTTAACACTGGTTCTCCACTTGTGCGGTAACTCCCTTCTCTTCATGTGTCAGTATAATAATGCCTGAATCTATAATTCTCACTCCATGCATCTGAAGAAGTGAGGTTTTTACCCACGAAAGTTTATGCCCAAATAAATCTGTTAGTCTTTAAAGGTGCTACCGGACTCCTTTATGTTTTTGTGGATACAGACTAACATGGCTACCCCTCTGATACTTGAGTATGAATTGGGACATTTAAGTGTTTCATATACAATATTAAGCAGTGTACATTTAAAAACAAACTATTAAGCGTAGGTTGGATTAAAAACCCTCGGATGTCACCAAGGACCAAAGACGAGAGTCCCTGTCTCAAGAGAGCCCCAGGTGGCCACCTAGTGTTGAAACAGCAGATCCCATTGGAGCGTTCTCCTCTTGCTTACATCAGTGTAAAAATCTGGAATAATCCAATTGAAACGAAGTGATATATACCCGTGTACACTTGGTACAAGATCAGAAACAGGTCCAATTTATTTACACCGAGTAATCCATATTCGTTGCAAGTCCCTTCACCATTTTATATTGACGCAGGGCATTGTTTTAAATGATGTTTAATTTGAAGGATTTTTCTGTATTCCGACTTCCTAGGAAGATGCTTTCTAAAAGTCCCCTGCTGATTAATTGTTACTGGGCTGCTGCCAAATGGGGGAAGTTTTACACGTAAAACAAACAAAAAAAATACATCTCTCCCTCACTCCACACTTGCCTATGCCTTTTATATTTGGTACTTCAGTCTATTTTGCAAACATATGGCCTGTCATTGAAGCCAGAGTGCACCATCCTGCTGTCAATATTGTCCTCCCCATCACAAAGATTAACATCAGAGGCTAGAAAGGCTGAGGCTGGGTTTTTCTCAGCCGTCACCCAAGTACCACAGGGCTTCTTCCCATGCAGCAAATAGACTCCCTGCAACAACCGAATGCTGCTGAGAAATTACTTGGGCTTTCGTTCCTCTGCTGATTACCATTGGATAAATCAACACAGCACAAGGTTTTCATAATCCCTTTTATGCTTACTCTTTATTATTTGTAGCATCGTGGGATGCTTCGAGTTTAATGATATTAAAACACAGTGAGTTTTCGCCTGTCCAGGGCTCATCCCTCATATAAAGCCAAGTACTATGGTATTCTGCACTAATACTCCTAAACCCTACTGCTAAATCAATGATATTGCAGTGTTTGGGGGCAATGAGTATCATATTGCAGGGTTTGAGGATTTTTGTTGTAGTTGTTGTTTAACAACCATGCAAAACACTGCAGTTACATATTCATACACACACATGTATGGGAATCAATGTGAGTCAATGGGAAATGGACTGGAAGGCAAGAGAACTAGTTTATATTCTCATCTCTGCCACTGACCAGATGTGTGACTTTAGACAAGTCACTTTACATGTTTGTGCCTCAGTTTCCTCCCTGGTGAGCTGGGGATAATAATATCTATCTTCCTTTGTAAATCACATTGATATTGGCGAATGAAGAGAAGTAGATATTGTTTATATTATTGGCTAAGCTCTTTGGCAATAAGAATTTTTTTCCAGGGTCTGATGGTATACATTCAAAAGCATTGCCTGATAGATACACCGCCCCTTTGCCAGTCACCACTTGTTTAAGACTAAATCTCTGTAGCAAAGGTGAGCTGAAAAAGGAATATGGTATCTTATCCAATGCGTTTGGTGAAGGTGGCTATTTGTTTTCTTAATGCTGCACTCGGACAGTGGGCAAGCTGTACCGGGGAGCAGATACTGTAAGGAAAGCACCAGCAGCCTTTCCAGCTTATCTGCGGCTGCTATCAAAGGTGCCATCTGAAGCTGATTAGGTAAGAGTGTCAGGTTTAATGCATCAGACAAACTCCCGTTCGTGGCCCAGCAGACCTTGCAATCTGAGAATTTAAGAAGAGTGGGGTTTAGAGCTGGATTCCTTTCTGAGCTTCTAAAAATAAACGTCTGCAAACCCAAAGTTAAAAACCAACATTCATTAGAGAGTTACATTAGGAACAAAGTGCAACATTATTGCAAACAGATGAGATGAGCTGCCGATGATACAGGTAGGAACATCCACTTAAAAAAAAAAAGTAAATCCTCATCTGCAATTATTTTCTACTCGTTTGTCCCCCATCCCAGACCAAAACCTATGGCAACATAAAGGAGAAAAGCAACTCTGATACTTTCATAGCTCCAATCAATAACTGTCCTCCATTCCCTTTTTTTTTAACCTCCAAAATTGTTTTAGGAAAGGCGATGTTCATTTCATCCTTATTTATTACTCAGTTGGTAGAGAGGACAGCCTGGGCACCGCTACAAATCAGCATGCAAACTAGTTTCAATCACAACATAAAGGCACTCCAATACAAGGCTTGTATTATTTGCTCATGTTACTTAACCCAGTTTCACATGTACTTTTAAACAGAGATTTGTGGATAGGAGATGTCACATGAAGTTGACTCCACAGTGTGAGAAACAGTAAAAGATCCATGTGGCAGGAGGGAGGAGGAAGAGAGACATGTCTATTTCAGGTTTCAGATGCAGCCGAAGAAGTGGGCTGTAGCCCACGAAAGCTTATGCTCTAATAAATTTGTTAGTCTCTAAGGTGCCACAAGTACTCCTGTTCTTCTTTTTATGTCTATTTCAAACAATAGTCTGCCATAATTTTTATCCAGTTAATAAATTACATGAATAATGCCATTTCTAACCATTTATAGACCTGTTCCCGCATTTTCCTTCTAAAGGTCTGGGTTCATTAAGAAGATTTTGTTCACTGTAGCACTGGTGAAAGGGGCTGGGTTGACTGAATTTTTATCTAGCTACAGAAAAAGTCAGGCATAGGGAGATTCCTACAGACTGAGCTATCAACGTGCATCAACTTGGACCTGAAGGGATAAAGATGAAGGGTAATTTGCTCTCCTGTCCATTCAGTCTTTAGCCTCTCTGACAGCGATTGCCAAGAGGCTGCCATTTTGGAATCCCACCCATGGCCATTGCTAACGCTTTAAAAACAACGCTGGTGCTCGAAGCTGCGCTTTCAGTACAAATAACGCTTTGAAACCGGCTGTGTGCATTCACCCCTCAGACTGTGGAGAGCCCATTGAAGTCAAGAGGGAACCTTTCCAAAGGGCTTTGAATCAGACCACAGAGTGGGGAGTTGCATCTGAAGAAGTGGGTTTTTTACCCACAAAAGCTTATGCCCAAATAAATCTGTTAGTCCTTAAGGTGCCACTGGACTCCTTGTTGTTTTTACCACAGAGTGTGCGAATGGTGACAGGGCAGAATTTCATGGGCCCTCACTGCCATACTTCAAAAGTGCAGTTGTTGCCCTACAATGCCTACATATAAGACTTGCTCTTCCTCTCACCTACACCAGTGTAAATCAGGAGTAACATCTGTGAAGTCATTAGGGTTGCTCTGATGTCAAACTAGTTTAAGTGACAAGAGAATCAGGTCTTCACATCTGCATAATTTCACAAAGCTGCAGTTTTGCTGACACTTAGCACTTGGATCCAGGGCCGGCTCCAGGCACCAGTGAAGGAAGCAGGTGCCTGGGGCGGCCAATGAAAAGGGGTGGCAGTGCGTTTGTTGTCGGGGCGGCACATCCGGATCAGTGGTGGCGGCACTTCGGTGGCAGCTCAATTGGCCCACTCCGGATCGGCGGCAATTCGGCAGCGAGTCCTTCACTCGCTGTCTTGCTCCTCGGTGGCACTTCGGCGGCAGCTCGAT